GATAGATAGATAGATAGATAGATAGATAGATAGATAGATAGATAGATAGATAGATAGATGATTGATAGATAGATTATTGTCTGGTTTGGAAAGATTACTGCTTGAGACAGCAAGGCGGTGCAGAGAGTGGTGAGGATGGCAGAAAAAAATATTGGTAGTTTACTTCCTTCTACCAAGGACATAGCATATAAGTGATGCTTGAGCAGAGTCCGCAGGATTGTCTGGAACGCTACACATTTTCTTCACAATCTGTTTTCCTGGGTACCTTCTGGGAGGAGACTTCGTGGTATGCGAGGCACAGCATCCAGATTCAGTCACATTTTGTTCCATGTAGCATCAACCTTGTGAACTTTCAACTTACAGGCCCCCTGCCCTCCCGGTGTGTCTGTGCGCATGCATGCATGTGTGCGCGTAGGTATATATTTCTGTATAGCATGTGCATATGAATGTGGTAGATACATCTCTTTCTTAAAATATTAACTGATTTCAGTCACTTTTTTCTTTTATTTTACCCTTTTGTTATATTGTTTGCAATTGGATAATGGGGCAAGCCTCTTTGTTCTGACTGACCCACTAGATTAAATTTGACCCACAGATGACATATGCATCATACAAATAAATTTTGGGGAATGACTGCAAACCTGCTTCAGATCTGAATGGTGTGGCCAGTTTGGTGAAATTTCAACTGATAAAAAGCAAAGAAAGTATTCAGTCGGATGGTAATTAAAATGAATATCAGTGACTTGTATTAATTGAAAGTATAAGCAAGAAACAATTTGTTAGAAATTTTTAAAATATAAAAGTGATAAACAATACTCACAGAGGTTTGTGAAAGCCCAGATTTGGAACAGAATGAGCTGAGAACCAATTTATATTATTCCTCTATTTTCTATTCAGGAGGGGGAAGCATTGGAGTTGGAAATAATTGCTGATGTAAAACAGGATTTTTCCATACATATTGGCTAGCTTTGCTTTTTGTAATCAAAGATTTGGATGATCACAATGATTATGATGACTGCCCATTTGCCATATGTTTAAATTCTGAGTTAATTTGTTCCTATCTACAGTTAGGCAGAAATACCAGAAGCAGACATACAGACATAGAGTTGAAACTTATATGGCTTACAGCAGGGCTGTGCAAAACTTAAGGGGACAACTTTACATGGATGATGTGGGATAAGTGTATGGATACAGTCACCTGGAGTGGAGATTGATTCAAAAGTACCTTGATCTCCTGGCTGGTGATAATTCCTGATTTAACCTTGTCTAAGCTCCTATGTGAAGCATATTCAGCCTGTTTAGTCCTTTCAAGGGAGATGATCTAGCAATAACGGGATATTAGTCACAACTGTAAAGTTGGAATAAATACAGGAGACAGAGGAACTGATGGGGTTTTTTTTCTTTTTGTGTCCTGCAAGGTAAACTCAGATTGAAGGAAACTAGACTTGGCTTTACAATTCCCTTAGAATTCTTAGAGGTTCCGTATCTTTGGACTCAGCATAGAAGCATTTCAAAGTAGCTAAAACTTCACTCCTAACACCTGAGTGACGTCATCAGAACTGAGCATTTGGTACAGACAAATAAGCAGAGAAGACAATTCTAACCCATAGAGGTTGCCCAGTAGGGTCGTGTTCTGAAGAGTACAGAGCCAANTTTTTTTTTTAGAAAAAGCATGCAATCACTTGCAACAAATATATTATCCCCCTTTTCATAATTCCATCCATAGAAAGATGGAAAAATGCCTTGGTTTGTTATTTAGTAGGATACTGAGGTTGGCTTCACACAACATGCTAAACTCAAGATCTGGGTTAACAACAGTTATTATTAGATAAGATGCAACACCCAAACAAACCATGTTATGGTTATGTAATGTATGGCCAGGTTTATACAGCTTGTCTGGACAGTGGATCTCATATTTCCTAGTTTGATTTTAAGCTGAACTCAGCATCTTGGGCAAGTCCAGTTTGAGAAGTGTTTCCCAACTATATCCATATGCATTATAAAGAAATCCAGGACTTTCTGCTTCCAAAGTCCCCAGCTATTGCTAAAATATAACCATCCCTTAAATATTGCAAGAATGAAAGTCATTGTCAAAGTCTAAATACTTGAATTTGAATCGGATACTTTTTATACATTCTAGCTCAACCTATCTCGTCCTGGGACTTCAGTGGATTTGTAGTTCGAACCCTTCAGAAGCAGGGCCACCGAGTGGATTATTACCATATTTTTCAGAGTGTAAGAAGCACCTTTTTCCCTAAAAAGAGGGTGAAAATCTGGGTGCGTCTTATACACTGAAGGTAGTATTTTTTTGCCTCCAGAAACCCCATCCCCTTCACCCAAATGGCCATGCAGAGCCTTTAGGAATCTTATAGTGTGTTCCTGGGGGCTGAGGAGGGCAGAAATGGGGGAAAATGGGCTGTATTTTGCTCCTCTAGCCCCCAGGAGTACTCTATAAGCCTCCTAAAGGCCCTGTGCTTTTCTTTTTTTTTGTTAAAAAACAGGCCCATTTTTGTCCCACTCCCATCCCCCAAAGGATTCTAGAAGTCTCTTAAAGGTATTCATGCCCTTTATTTTTTATTTTTTTGAAAAACCTGCTGTTTTGGGGAGGTTCGCAGAGTGCAAAACCTTTTTTAAAAAATGTGCCTCTTCAAAATCTTGGTGCGCATTATACTCTGAAAAATTCGGTAAGTGCTGGAACAAGACTAATATGGGCCTCCTCAACTACACATGGATACAGGTTTCTGTTTTTCCTTGCCTTTTTGAGCTCCAGATATTTGAGATGACATTTCATAACCATTCATAAACTGAAATAAAATATAAAATATCTTCATAAATGAAATGAAACTAAACTTGCAAACTTAAATAAGTAATGAAATTAAAATTCAATAAATTACATAATTAATTATTTACTGAGTTTCAGATTAATAAAGGTTACATCAAAAAAGGCTGCAAGGCGGTTTTCTTTACACACAAAGTATAGAGTATGAATATTGTTTTTAAAAAATCTGGTTTGGTAAACATTTTTTTAAAAAATCCCTTTAATGGCCCCCTTTGAGCTACATAGACCTCCGAACAATGTACCATCTGCACCTCCCTCTCCTCAGGCCTGTCTGGAAGGCCAAGATGGAGGAAGACTAGGGCTATATCTGTCACATAAAGAAAAGGATGGGATTGTGAATCCCAGGAAAGTCTCCATGGGTGAACGTTCAAATTCCAGTTGAAGTAGAGAGACCCGCCTTATAGACCATACAGCTTTAGGACTTATCAAGGGAGATCAAAAATGGGCTGCTAAAGGTAGAGTGCTAGTTTTATCCCATGTTCCATCAACAGCTACAGCTTCCAACAACGATGGGACACGCCTTACTCCCAGTGGCAGATTAAGGTTAACTGGTACCCTAAACACTGACAAATCTTGGTGCCCGCCCCCCTTTGTACATACTGTACAAATCATCATCGTTGTTTTTCTTTCTTTTCAACTTCGTGGTGCCCGCTTTGGCCCTTGTGCCCTAAGCACGTGCTTAGTCTGATTAATGGCTAATACACCGCTGCTTACTCCACGCATGCTCCCACCGTCTTGAACGTGTGGAACGAATCCCCTGGAAAGTGCGGCACTTGAGGAAACAGGCGCGTTCAACAGGCAGAGCGCCTCTTTCAAACAAGCTAGCAAACCGCGAGGTCGCCAAGCCAGAAGCTTCGCACGCCCGAACCAGTCCGCCGTGGCAAGTCTCTCCTGTTCTTCCGCGCACACACCCCGCCCCTCCCTTCGCGTCCGCTGCGGGACACCAATAGGAAGCAGGGTGGAGTCATTCAAACGGCAAGCCGCTGGGAGCCTATCAATTCCCCAGGCTCCGCTTGCTGCCAGCCCGGAGCTCTGCGGGACCCTTCCCCGGCCACTAGAGCCCTCCCTCCCATCGCTGGCTCGGGCTATATACCATGCCTAGCCCGGAGCATCGGCGTCTCAGAAGGGACTCGGGTTGGCTGGCTATGAAGGACGCCGCTGCCGAGGGCGAGTGCGGGAGACCCGGGCAGGGTTGGTCGAGCCAGAAGGGTTGCAAGAGTCGGCGCAGCCGCTTGCCAGTCGCCCAGGGCGCGCGGTTGGGAAGAGCCGCTTAAGCTCGGGGGAGGGAATAAGAATCCTTTCGCGGGATCCGGCCAGCCAAGGCAAACGGACCGGTGCTGGCGGAGTTGCCCACCGTCGCTGCCTTTCAGCAGGGCGAGACATCAGGGAGTCGGGGGCTGCCGGGAGCGGAGAGGGCTTGCCTGCCTGCCTGCCTGCCGGAGGAAGAAGGCGAAGGTAGGCGCTCGCCGGCGTGGGGAGTGCGCGGCTGGGTGGGATGCATTGTTGTCTGGTCTTGTTAAGGGTGCGGAGGACGCGCCTCTTGTCGGTCGAGGCAGAAGAAGAAGGCTACCCTCCCTTCTTCTGCCTTATCTCTCTACCTTTGCGTCGGGAAAGAGGAGCGGAGTGGGAAAGCAAGACGGATTGCCATTGTCAGTTGCCAGGCTTCCAGCGGGTTGGCTGGACGCCTCCCCTGCGCTCCCGCCCAGTAGCGGCAGCAGCAGGGCTGGCGCCTGGGTGTATGGCGGAGACACCCACAGCCTTCTCCGGCTCGCTGGTTCTCCCCAACCCCGCGATTTTCCTCCTTTCCAGGTGGGTGGCAGGAGCGCCTGGGATCTCCCTAGGTCAAAGCCGAGGGGAAGGGTGGAGATTCCGTCTGAGGGCATCCCAAGGCTCTACTTTAACCCATGCGGGAAGTTTGGGGGGTTTGCATCTTTTCCCCGGCTTCTCCGAGCTTCGTTCCTCCCGCTTCCGCTCCTTCAGCTGGAGACAATTACACACACACACCAAAGAATCCCAGACACACAAACAAGCAGCTTCCCCACCG